GTGGTTTGCAAAGGACCACCCAGAGGTGGCATCTAGGCAGCCTTTGCCCAGCAGGCACAAAGCCCCCATCCAGCGCCAGCACGGCGGCGTGTGGCCACAGGGACAAAGAGCTCGGCTATGGCCCGACCCTGGCCAAGATGCCACCGTCAGCCTCCGCATCCACCGAGAGCTCCTGCTCTGGTGCTCACCCGCTTCCCAACGCCTTCGGGTCAAACAGAGCCCGCTCGCTCCTCCTCCTCCTCCTCACGTCCCCCAGCCTGAAAGAGGAACACTGAGTCTTTCCATGGCACGGGCTCGGCGCTTTCCAACGGGGTTCACTGGGGAGGCTCGAGCACCCCTGGGAATTCCTAAGCTAAACCCACTGCCTGCAACGTTTTGGCCCCCTGAACCCCCTCCCTCCCCCACTACCGTACGCTCTGGGGGATCGGTGGGGTTTCAAACGCGGTACGAAAAGGCATTAAAGACGTGCGGCGGCGGACTCTGCCAGCTTGCCATTAATACCGTTGCAAGACGGACAGCGGGGGCTTTGCAGAATCGGCAGCATCCAACGCGAGGCTTGAAATACCGGTAACGCGCGTGCCTGCCGCACCCCCGGGGCTCCGCCGAAACCGTTGCCAAGACACCTGCGTGGTCCATCTGCAACGCGAGCGCGATCAAGGCAAATCTGCACGTACCGCCAGCGCCGCCGGTCCCGGGTGCGGAGGTGTACGCGTAAGGCGGACCAGAAGGCAGCAAGGCGACGCTTGACGAGCCAGGCTGCAAGGCTCCGCTCCGCGCCGAGCCCGAGGATGGGGGCTCTGCTGTTCTTCAGGACCTTTATCTCCTGGGAAATAACAGCTGTCCGGAGCTAGCGTTTCAAGGAACGACTCTAGGGGTAATTCAAATGATGCGGCTTGCTCCGCTGTATCACATTGTACATCTTAATGAACAAAGCCACAAGGACAATTTGAACTGATAAAAAAGGGGCTGCCAGCGATAACAGCTGAAGCACGAGAGGACGGTTGGAATATCAATGCGGTTGGAGGAGACACGAAAGAGATCAAACCGGCACGCCGGAAATCTTTCAAGCAGCGACACTGAAGCAAAGCACCGGCGACAGAGGAGAAGCTTTAAAGGTCGTGCTGGTTTGGAAGCTCTGCCGCCGCTCAGCTTCTCCTTCTCCTGGAAGCAAGCAGCGCGTTAGCTTTTCAGAGACCGTCCCCCCACCGCCCTGCCGCCAACGCGCTTCGTCAGCTCCGTGCGCCGTCGTGGGTCAAGCCTACAGCAGCGGCGCTACGGGATTCGGCCGTGCCAAGCGGGAGGGGCTGATGAAGGGACCCTTCGCTCCAGGCAGGGGCTCGGGGGGGCCTGGGAGCACCGACCGTGCTCCGTCGTACGCCTGCACACCCGTTGCCTGGCCTCTCCCATTCGCCGCGCCCACCGCTCTGGTTCCTGCGTGCTGAGCAGCGGCCACCAGCACTCCAAGATAGACCTTTTGGGAGGGGGTTGCATCGCCACGTCACGCCCGAACGCGTCCGGAGGGGACACGCTGCGTGTAAGCAAGCAAAACAGTCGTCCGCCGCGGGAGCCTGCCCAAAAGGAGGAACGGGCTGGGCACGCGCAGTCGCGAACGCAGCCCTTGGAGATGGTTCTCGTGGGTCGTTCCAGCAGGGAAGCGAACCCCAAGCGGGTTATCTCCGATAACACAGGAGGGCTGCTTCCAAGAGCGTGATGTCCTACGGGCAGCCGCTGGAGAGGACAGCGCAGCCACGACGTGAGCTTTGCACAGAGAGACTGTTCCAGCGCGGGGTGCTCTTAGAACCATAGAATGGTTTGGGTGGGAAGGGACCCCCAGAGGTCACCCAGCCCAACCCTCCTGCAGGAGCAGGGACACCTTTAACCAGATCAGGTTGCTCACAGCCCCGGCCAACCTGGCCTGGAATGTTCCCAGGGATGGGGCCTCCACCCCCTCTCTGAGCAACCTGTTCTTCCCTGTTTTTAAATTAAAGCAAGACAATAGTTTTTCAGAGCTGCTCTGTGGTTTCAGAGGACACGTCCTAGGCTGGTATTATACAAGAAATAGGAAGGAAAAGGCAAAATAAAATAGATTCCGAGTCCCCCTCATCCTAAGGAACGGTTTTCAACGAGGCTGGCTGGCAGACGACTCGCGCCCAGCCTGCCGGCGAAGAGAAGGAACGCCTCGCCTGCTACCGACGCGCTCACGTCGCACGAGAAGAACATGCCAACCATTTGGTGATGATGGGAATTACGGTATCAATTGTCTCTCGAGGCTTTAAGAAGCGTTTCAACGCTACCGTGCTATGTAATTCTGGAGATTATGGTAATTTGACCTAATTTTTTCCAGCTACAAAGTCTCTTAACTATTGAAGAGCAGAAGTTTCTGCAGCTTCGTGCTGCCCGGTTGCTGGCTGGATGACAGGGACGTGCACGCCTCTCCGCAAAGAAGGGGGCGAAGCCTCTGCTGCCCTTTGGGGGAAAAGCACGTTCAACTTGCAGGCAGAAGACGTGAAGACACACGCCACGAAGATTCAGCGTTAGATGGGTGTCAGGGAAGAGCACAGAAATTTCCCTTATCAGCATTAATTGATCTTCTTCTCCCACATGGTGAGCAGTAACTGCTGGAATCGGCAAGCAACGCACCATTTTCACTACGTTTCCAGCCTTTTTGGCAGTTCGAAGCCAACGCAGAAAGGCATCGAGGAGGCGATGGAGACCCACCCGGGTTTTGCTGACAGGGCGTCAGCAAGCTGTGAGTTTTAGATCCTCCGCCACCGAAAAGGAAGGAGAGAGGAAAAGGCAGGGCAGCCCCGCGCTCCTGAGCCCAAGGTTCTGCTAGGCCGATACAAAAAGCAACCCACGGTTCTGCTCGTGCGGGAACCGAAGAGCTGCCGGCCAACGCTTCTCCGTGTGCACCCAACGGCTCCTCAATGCGGTCGTCCCTCCCTGCAGAGCGGCACCCTCACGCAGGGCAGCGCTGATCCCCAGGGCGATGATCCGCTCCGGTGGAAAGCCACTGCGGAGGGACGGCCGGGGAAACGTCAGGCCAGAAGGTCCTCCCTTCCCAGGAGACCATCGTCCCTTCGCCTGGGTGTTCAAAGCAAACCCGCAGGAGGAGTTTGCGCCATTTCGTATGGCTGGAGACACGGACTCAAGCAGCACCCCCCAGCTGTCGCTGCCAGGGCGCTGAGCAGCTCCCGGGCACCGCCAACTCATCAGCAAAACCCTGCTGGGGCCACTACCAAACCTGGGCAACCAACAACAGCAGCCAGAGCGTAGCCACGCTTGAAACCGGCTCGGACAGGAGCCCTAGCGACAGCGGTTTCCGACTTGAAGAACCACCCACCTCCCCTTCTGCTTTCGAATATGAAAAAGCCAGAAAACTACCCAGAGGCTACTGAGAAGGCACAAGCGAGTCGTACGGCTGGCAGGGGCACAGCAACCCACGAACCCCTATTTACTGCCAACGACCCCGACTCCGGAGCGCGGGGAGGATGGCGCGCGCTTTGGAAGCCAGTCCCAGGGCACCCCCGAAGCGGCAGGCGGATAACGATCCAGCGGCCGGGACACGGGACAGTCGTTAACGCTGGCAGGCACCAACATAAGCTTAACGGGGTCAACCAAGCATCGAGACAAATTCCAGAATTCACCGAAAGCGGTAACGAATTACCGGGAAAGGAAAGAAAACTGCGCGCGTGCTCACTTACATCCGGACACACGGGCCCGAGTCGCTCTGCAAACGGCTCTTAAGGAGGCTTTAAGAGAGTTCGAAACCTACTCGGAAAGGAAAGCTGGTTAGGAAATCAAAACCAGAATTGAAACACGGCGACCGAATCACGAAACGGGAAAGCGTTGGCGGCGGAGAGCCTCAAGCATCCAAGCCTGGGTGCCTGGCGTTGGGTTTTACCGACAAGCACCTGGAAAGAGGAAGACAGAGGATGGCGAGGTCTGGACGACACGATGGCGGATGGCAGACGGCACACACACAGTGCGCGCTAAGGCACCTCGGAAGAAAGGCTTCGACCGCTCGTCCGTGCCAGCGGAGCCTGCCGCGGCTGCCACAACCTCAGGAGGAAAGAAGGCACAGAACGCCCTGAGCGGGACAGAGTCAGCGGAGCAACGTCGTAAAAGCAAATAAAAGGTGAAGGCGTTTAGAGAGGGATGGTTCACAGCCACAAGGAACACCACGCCATTAGCTAGCCAACGGTCCGTTCTCGCCTCCGCTTCGTCACCTCTGCCTCGGGGAAAAGATAAAATAAAAAGGCAAGCAAAAGCAGCGGTTGAAATAGGAAAGGTCGGGAAAATGGCAATGCGATGATGACAGAGAAACCAGAAAGGCCGTCCTCAGGAGCGGAACGCGGCGGGCCGAGCGAGGAAGCGCGGCGGGCGTGCGGAGAGGCGACCGGCTGGCGGGTTGCGTCCGTCTGTTCTCGCGAGACAGGGAAAGACTCAAACCGCGGAAAGCCCCCTCCTCAAAAGGGGTCCTACAGAGGGCGCGGGGCTCCGGAAAGAGCTTCTCTGGGCGAGCGGGGGAGCGGGCTTGCCAAGAGCTAGACCCAATGCCTAGGCATGAGAAAAAGCAGCGCGAGCCACGCGAGGCGGATTAAATTACCGACGAGCAAACTTCCTGCTTCCAGGTACGAATCGCTCCGCGCCTGATACTGATGGGGCTGAACCCCCCCGCCCGCACCCGAGGAGCCCCGAGGCCGCTCGCATCCTCCCCTGGGAAGCGCCCAGCGTCGGCCACCGGCACCTGAGGTCAGAGCCCTTTCTGCCCGGGCGGTCCCCGCGCCTCGGAGACGCCTGCAGCAAGCGCCGTCCCACGCGTCGGGGTGCCGGGCCAGGACTCGCGCCGCACGGTGGGGGTGTTTGGGGGGGAGGGGGGGGAAATAAAAAAAGCAAGCCATTTCTGTGCTGTTTTTCCCCAGGCTTCATGCTCTGCTTATATACATAAAAGACAATAAACATTCAGGACATTTCCAATGGTTATGAAGGTACCGTACCTGTGATGGTGGTAGGGATGGTGGTGGTAGTGGTGGTGGTTGTTGTGGGAGGAGGGATAGTTGTGGGGGGATCTGGATAAAATATAAAAAGGAAAATAATAAAAAAGCAAATTAAGAAAAAACAAGCAGAACACAACAGCGGTCAATCGTGATCAGAGAAAAACAAGGACGCTAAGAAGCAGCGGGGCTGTGGGACGCCTTTCCTCCTCCAAGCCAGGCGGGGGCCGCCCAGCTGGCTTTGAGGACAGCGGGCCAGGTCCTCGGCAGCCGGGCACGGCTTGGCGCTCAACGCGCGCCCTCGCCTCGGCTGGAGAACCCGGCCCCGCAACTCCCCCCCTTTTTGCCTTCTACAACGCTAACAAAAATGTAAAAAAAGAAACAAAACCCAGCATAAATTAGTCAATGAGAGAGAGAGATGGAATGGGAGAGGCATAAGGAAAATAAACTGCACGCTTTCCACAACAACAGGAACAGTTTGCATGTACAGAGAGACACAGCGGTGCTTCGTCGCTTCCCTAGCGGGCGTTTGGGAGGCCGGGGGTGCCGGGGCCCTGCTGCGCTGACCCGGCTGCGCCCCAACGGCCCGGGAGCCCCCCGGGGCCCTTAACTCCG